TTTTAATATCTTAAAAACATTAAAACAAGTATTTGTTCGTATACCTAAAAGCTAACAAGGCTTACAGGAAAATGAGTTAAAAGATAGCTTCGCACAGAAACGTTTCATAAGAACAAAATTGGCAAAGGCGTTATTTTTTTTTCTGCCTTCTACATCATGCGAGCGTTCCATTGCTGCAATTGACCTCGTTAGTCGATTTTCTGCGAAATCGACGTCATTTTGGGTGTAAAAAATCTTTTCTGATTTTAGAGTGGCTTTCTTATTAAGGCGGAACGTAGCGGTTCATATTTTGTGAACTTTTCTTTGTGTTGGTTTCGATACTGATTAGGTACTAAATCTTTTGTTATTTATTTATCTTGTTGTTGTTGTTGTTGAAAAGTTTGTGTTTTTTAATTACACTGTGTTGTTCTTGTATGACGGATCGTACATTAATTCATTGTCATCAACATCAATCCTTACATATATAAAGTGTGGAAGAGCCATGCTTCGGCACAAATGGGCCAGCTTGACCGGAGTGATACCACGGCCTCACAGAAAACCGACTGAAGCAACGCTTGCATTTTCGTCGTGTGAGTGAGGTTACCGGAGGCCCAATTGGAGATTGGGGAAGGGAGGGTCCCTTCCCTAATCTCCCCAATTCCTGAATCCCCAACGATCCTCAAACTCCTAATCTCCAAAAGGCCGGTAACGCACTTGTAACGCCTCTGGTGTTCCAGTTGTCCACGGGCGACGCCGACTGCTTACCATCAGATGATCCGTCTGCTCGTTTACCGGCTTATGCCATAAAAAACATACTATATTTACGTTATTTATTAGTTACGTAGATATATTTCTCAGGTATATACTTTTTACAGAATCACAAAAATTACAACGAGATAAACGATGTCCTGTAAAATAATCGTCCAATAACAAAACAAAGCATCTCCAGAAAAACCCAAAAAAGACGCAATTCAAACACAATTCCTATGTATAAAAAGGCAATGATTCCTTATTTGTCACGTTGCCCCACTAATTTGAACGAATGGCCTAAACATTGCGAAATTAAACTTGTAGCATAATGAAGTGACCGTATTTGTCTTAATTTAACTGATAGGGATGGGCCTACTATGAAATTACGAAACAGATTCATTCATAAAGCATTTATTGTTGCATATTGCGTTGGTTTAATGTTATTTATGGGATGGCGTTGGAGGGTGTAAAGTGAATTAGGTTCTCGGTCTGGATTCCGGTTTCGAAGTTTAATATGCATTTTAAGTCAAAGTCAAAGTCAAAACATTTATTTTAATTAAACTTATGATATACAATTAAAATAATGTTGTTGAGCAGCGTAGGTATGTATAACCGAAAGTGCTTTTATTGTGTCAGATCTTATAACTTTCATGAGACAAACTAAATTAATTATTATTACTTAATTACCTCTCGGTTGACTTACGTAATTATTTGACGAGTAACTCGACTAGTTTCAAGCTATGCTAGAGGCTCATATTCATGAGCAGCATTCTGTGATCGACGTCGCGGCGACCGTCGCGTTGCTACAACATAATAATATGTTGTAATAGTATTGTACTTAAATCACTACCTATTACATGGTACTCATAACATAAATAGTGAAAAGTGGGTGTTACATTGTACAGTGGCATCTGCCTACCCCTTCGGGGATAAAAGGCGTGTGTTATGTTATGTACTTAAATTTTCAGCCTGAATGAGTAGCTCTGTTTAACCTGAAACTAGTAGACAATCTCGAATTATTTCCTCACGTGAGTAAAACTTCAAATTGAAATTACATATGTAATATTTCATACACTACTAAACACAAGCTTAATATTATGCTTTAACTTCATGTATTTCAGTATTTTAGACACAATAAAAAACGCATTGTGTCTTGCGTAGTATCTACGCTCCGACATATTAGAGGTTAATCAGAATAAAGACTCGATCTTACAAAAATACACCTAAAAGACAAACAATTGACATCAAAATCACGTGCCAACTCTTCCAAAACTAGAAGCAAACAAAACTACAAAGAAAAATCTTGCTAAAGAAAAAAGATCGTGAGTGTTTCGACCTCTCCTTAGTAAGGGCAAAGTTTATTAGAGTTGGTTGTATTAAGCTGTATCGCAGAACTTCCCCACCGGTCCCAGTTTAGCCCCCAATGAGAATGTTTGACAGTTTTGGGCCACACACTGTATTTATTGGACCTTAAAAGTACTGGCATGTAATAATAGTTCTGGTTTCAAATTTAATATGGGGAAAATTATTGTTATGTGATTATTAAGTAGAGGTATGTAGGAAGGGTTTCTGGAGTGAAATATTTGACGGAAGCTATTTATGTTTTAGATGAGAATTAACTATGCGTTGAGTTGTTATGTTGGATTACTTTTGAAGGTAATCTGATATGTTTCAATAAGAGCAGATTGCTAAATGTGTTCCTAAGTGCAGTAATCAAGGATTAATGATATTTCATACCTTTTTAACTGACTTAATTAATAGAACTTTTATTGTATAAAACTAGTTACTTCATGAAACATACAAGACTACATAAATCTGTAAACTTAAACACATTAGATTCATTAGTTAGCCTATACACAGATGGTTTAAATTAAAACCATGCAATAAAATCTTACCAGTGCTTACTAGACTCACTCTTTAGTTCAACAAGCCACGCTCAACACAACAACGATGAAATAATGTAGTCCATTCAAAAATACATGACACAACACGAGTATCCATCCAATCACAATCCTGTTGACTTCACAACAGATCGATAGATCCCTAAGATCACTTGAATGAACTGAAACTATAGGGCGAACACAATAGACTATGTAACTGATACAAATCGCACACAGATTTATTGTTCTTGTGTGCTATTGTGCTTGCTACTTGTACCATGGCTAATTTGAGGGCTGAAGCCAATACGCCCAGCGAAAATTGTACGTACTACATTGAATTTGAAGTTTGTAGACGGCTCTTGTTCGAATGAATGGACGAAAATGAAGTTTGAATCAATAAGGGCTAGACAAGTGGCTTTGTATTAGCGTTAACGAAAGTTGTTAATACGTATTGTGTGAGTTTGTTAAATTCTGGAGAAGTGTATAAAATCAGATGATGTAATAGGTAGGTGTATTATATAGCAAACAAACATAGCAACAAGATAACCTGATGGCAAACTATCAGTGCCTCCCATGGACACCGGACTAGACGAGTCACAGGTGCGTTGTCGATCTCAGGTTTCTTCATTGCGATTTCCTCGTCTGGTGGTAAGCGACGATGCGGCCAGCACGCCTGCCTAGACTGAATAGCAACATATTCACTAGATGTGCAGAAAAACAAATCTGAAATACGAAAACTGACACCCACAATTCTCGTGTGTTTTGGGACCACTACCTATTTTATGTACCCGTACGTAGGTGTACGAGGTACCTGTTACATGTAACTAAGTTATAAGTATACCCGGATATCGCAAGGAATCTTTTTTTAGACATGTGATTTATGAAAATCGGAAGCAAATAAGAAGGTCATCAAAATCTAATTAAAGACTTTGAAACGACAAACAACCATTCTTTTTCATTTAGTTCTGGGTACTTTTTGGTGCATAGTTGGTGGTTATAGATATCTACCACATTGATTGATTCATATATTTAAGTAATATTCCTCATTTTAATGTTATTATTTAATCATTTTAGTGTCATAATTCCCCAGGTCATTTTCCTAGAAATATAAATAAATTAAATTTATTTACATGCACCTAATTAAGTAAGTGCTGGTAAATCTCTGTGGTTTAATGTGTCATTTAGGTATTTATAATAAGTATATTTGGGGCTTTCCTTATGAAAATACCAATTATGAAACAACAGAAATTACAAAGTCTTTTAAATAAATATTTTGTTATTCACAATTTATTTAGATATGCAAATATGAATGCGAAAGTAAAGCGTAAATCACATATGACCTCAAAGTAAATACTCGAAAAAAAAACAATATAAATTCGACTTTCATGAGACTCCTTCCAAAACATTCCCATTAATTTTTATTTATTGGTTCGTTTATCAAAAATTCACAGTGCGTACCAACGTCACGTCAAACCAAACTCCAGTATTATTTTAAAGCGGCGATTTTTGATTTACATCCATTCTTTGTTCGTTCCCTTATCTTTCCAATAAATGTGAATTATCGCCGACCACCGTTCAGGAACCGAACCATATATTTCAAAGAGATTGTCTAATTTAAAACTGTTCCTGAACTGTTAATTTTAAGCTCCACTTTGGGTCCATTTTTTAAAGACAAAAGACTTCGAGGCGCCTTGAAATAAGTCTTACGAGTTCGACTTAACTTTTGGTTCTGACAGCTCCAAAAAGTCTAAAGAACTTTCGAGAAACGCTCGTGTCTTTGAACGGTGAATTAAAAAAAGTTTTTAATAATAAAACTTAATTATTTTCAAGGAAGAGTTCGGTCGTTTCTTTAGAGTTCCGGTTGATTAAATGTTGACAAGAAAATGAGTGTATAAATAAAAATTAATTGAAGCAATTAATTCTGGGTGTCGGACCATAACTCCGATAAATGCTATAAAGGATTTTTCGAAAAAAAACCCTTCATTAAAGTAACTTGTTCAACACTTATTTACTCGTTTTCTGATTATTTTAATTGAACGCAACATGTTTTGCGTGGAGCACAAGAAAATATTAAATAAGTCAAGAAATTATATTAAACTTTATTTAAAAAATATTCTTAGTTAAAATTGAGCGCTCCTTTTATAACTAGTAAAATGTTTACAAAATTATTTTCTTAGTTTACGTACATGAGGGAAATAAGGTAATTGTGGATAAAATGTATACCTACAGATTTCAGTCTTTACTATTTCTAGTTAATAGTCTAACTTTCATTTTTATTTTGTACCAACTATTTTCCTATGAAATTAGTGATTCGACAACGGTACATATATTGTTTTAAACTGTCAAACACCAAGCGGTCACCGGTGACCGCAACCTATTGTTCTATAATGACGGTCCTTGACGAGTTAAAACATGTTATTATTGCCTGTATAATTTGAATTAATCCCCTATTATATAAAACATCACACGTGTTACTTTTAATCGAGGGATGAACCTTTATCAATATACCTGTATCATCAGAGTTAGTTAGAAATTATAAAAAGTCTTATAAATGCCAACCAGAACCAGGTATCAACCCAGAACTTTTACGATTGGTTTATAAGATTTTATGACTAGCTTAAGTACTATCAGGAAGTTTACTAAATCATCTATACAATTTATCGAGACCTTTTCAGAGCTGACCTCTTAATATCTATTTAAAAATAAACATGCAAATAAAAATATTCCATTAAAAGCCAGCTGCACTTCCATTACTTCTAACATCGAAGGCGCCTTCCATATTTCCATCAGGATGTCTTACTAGCAATCCAGCTTGACCAGTGTGTTCGCTATAATCTGGCAACATAACGATATCATGACCTCTCTCTTTCAAATAATTTATAGTCTCAGCATTAAACCTTCCTTCTAATTTCAGGGTGGTCTCTGGAGGACCAGATATCCTTCCATAAAGCCACCTTGGTTCAGTCACTGCCTGCTGAGCATCTTTGCCCTGCACCACGTATCTATGGAAGATTGCACACTGTGTTTGAGGCTGCCCGTCTCCACCTCTTGTTCCATAAACCAAAACTCGTCCATCGCGCAAACGAGCTGCTGCTGGATTCAACGTATGGTAAGGCTTCTTCCCAGGCTCTATACACAAAGCGTGGTCCTTCTCCAAATTAAATGCTACTCCTCTATTGTGCCACAAAATACCTGTTCTAGGAAGCACCATATTACTTCCGAATTGAAAGTAAATGCTCTGAATAAAAGAAACTGAAAAGCCTTTATTGTCCATTATTCCCATCCAAATAGTATCCCCAGGACCTTTACATGGATGAGCGCCAGAAAATTGATCCAAATTTACTTCTTTTGCCATTTTAAATAAGTTTTGACTTGATAATAATAAGTTGGGATCAGTCTTCATATGCTCTTTTATATAGTTATCTCGCATTTTAAAACTTTGTAGCGTAGCTTCTACTGCAGCATGAACAAATTGGCCTTCATGTTGACCATCAATACCTAACTTGTCTAAGATACCGAGAATAGTTAGCGAAACTAAACCTTGAGGCAGAGGAATGTTGAATACCTCGCCGTGGCTGTGTAATAATCGTAAAGGAACTTTCCTAACTGGAGCGTAGTTTGTAAGATCTGATTTCGTGATAGGCATGCCTAACGACTCCATGTCCTCGGCAATCAATTTCGCCAATTCGCCTTTATAGAAACTGTTGAGACCGTTTTCAACTAAATGCTGCAGGGTGCTAGCGAGTTGCTTCTGGCAAAATGTTTCTCCCACTTTTGGAATTTTTCCATTAGGAATAAAAACTCTTCCGAAGTCAGTAGGGACATTTCCTTCGGCTTGAATATTTTTCAAGCTCTCGTAATGAGATTTTGTTACAGGGAACCCATCTTGTGCATACTTAATAGCATCAGCAAGTAACTTGGATAATGACATCCGTTGATATCCACATTCAGATACGTACTGAAGTGCTTCTTCCCAAGCACCTACAGTACCTGCTACTGTGTTAGCAGCTTTTGGTCCTCTAAATGGAATATTTTTGTAATCTTTAAAGAAATCGAGTGTAGCTAATGAGCCGGCTGCTCCGCGTCCTTCGATTACTATAGGGTCCCCCGTGGGTGGTACGATGAGCCAAAATGAATCGCCTCCTATGCTGTTCATGTGAGGATAGACCACAGCTACTGTTGCAGCAGCAGACACCATTGCTTCAATAGCAGTTCCTCCTTCTCTCAGTATGGCCAGTGCACTCTGGGTGGCCAAGTGGTGTGGTGTCACCACCATACAGTTCGGTGCTATGCTGCTTTGCATTTTGATTTACTTCCGACTTAATCTTCTAGGATGTTTTCGCCAAAGGAAGTTTTCTGTAATAAAATAACAACTTTCATTAATTAGATCCAAAGATCTTTAGTGAGGCTTTTGATTGGAAATTTTTAAGGTCAGTAAAATATCAGCTGCTAAAACAAAGTGAAACATAACTGGACATTTAAAGGGTAAGACGGCTCTATTCACAGACACATAACCCCAATTTATCCACATTCAAGTATCAGAAACAAGTATAAAATCTTGAAAAAGTGCTGTTGAAACAAAAAATCGGAGGCGTGGACGTCTATAATATAAATTTTAACGTCCAGATAGCTTCTAAGCTTGTCCCTCGTAAATAGCTACAGGGTTATACGAAAATTACACCCCGAGGATATGAGACGCCGTAAAATGATGTCGATACTCAGATATAATACATTGTAATAAAGATTAGAATGACTGTAATAGATTGCTTCGTGTGTATTAATATGCCTTCGGGGGGTAATAATTTTTTCCTCGGATTCTGTAGGGCTTCCTCGTTTCTTACGTTGTCGGTAATTAGGAGTTTTTGCGTTCATAGCCTTAGCTAGATATAGATACGCCATATCAGTATGCGATAGAAGTTTAGATTTTACTGTGTTAATATTATAATTATATGCTATTTAGAATTAGGTTTTCACTTCTATTGTGATGTACTTTTGTATGTGTTTGACATTTGACAGTTTTGACTGCAAATTCCAAATTTGACTCTTTAGATTTACTAGGACTCCATGAAACTGAGCCAATTCTTATTCTTCAACCAATCAAAACCCTAGACACACATAAAAAAAAACTTAAAATATTCACAACACCGAAATAAAAATCAGCGAATTAGGACATTCGCAAATCGAATAGGATAGGCTATAAACTGGTACCCTTGGAGATCTAACAGCACTCGCGTAAAATATGTTTTAGAACCGAACCCGGCCGACATATTGCTGGCCAACGTACTGGGACGATATTGAAAATGAAGTTTTTTGTATGCATTGAAGGGTTTACTGGCTGTGATGACAGAAAAGCCCTGTAGCGGCCTATGGGTTGAAATCTATCTTATGATTTTTGTTATGATGTTGGCTATTGTGGTGGTGTTTGTGATTTCAGTATAATTTTGTTTACTACATAACA